CGTTGAGGCCAGAACACAAATGGCCAAAAGCCAGAACACAAATGGCCAAAACAAAACAGTTTACACATGACGCCAATAGCTGTTTCACCCCTCCAATCAGGCTCGTATACTCCTAAACTCTCTCTCTATTTTTATTATTTTCCTTTAATTAATTAATCGTTATTCTTTTTATTAATCACTAACCAATTAACATTTTTTCATAATAAAATTCAGAAAACTAACATTTTTAGTATTATTATTATTTAGTAATTTCACTATTAATTATCTTTTGTAAATAAATTCTAACAAATTAATTTAGTTTAATTAGGTTTAATTTTGGCTTTTTCATAATAAATAAAATAAATTAGAATTAGGTTTTACTAACTTTTGACTTTATTTTATTTTTATTTTTCATTAAAGACATTAAAAACCAAAAATACTTTTTTCTTTTATTTAAATAATTAGTTTTAGGTTTAATATTAATTAAATACAAAAAACACAAAAAAAAACACCTTTCTTTAATTAAATAATAATTAGACTTTAATTTAATTTAATTTCAAGCAAAGGGTCAAAACCCTCGGACGTTCCAATTTATTCTTTTCGCGCATTATTTTCTTTATCAATTATTATGTAACTGCTTTCCGGATGTAATAGTAATTAGGTATTTTTTTTACTTTCCGCATTTTTATCAAAAACGGGTCTTTGTATTTTGACGATGTATAGACCCGCGCCTTGTAATAACTTAGATTTAATTTTCCGCAATTTACTTCCCGCAAATTATTAAACTGTTAATTATGCATGACAAGATTTGTATGACAAATAAAATCAACCCGTAGCTCACAATGATGCATGTTCAAAGATAAATGTAAACTGAAAACAACACACAAATACACACACCACTTCTAGGGTACGCCTCACCTGTTGCCTTCGAAACGTGGTCGTCGAGTATAGGACGTTTTAGTAAGTCCTTATGTCTGTTGATCCATATGCCTCAAAACAAGTTGCCTCGGAAAAGTTGCCTCGAATTAAAAAAGGATCAATGGCATAAGGGTAGCTTCTAAGGTGTCCTACTGTTGCTCTGGTGACCACACTGTCCCTAAACTCGAATTGACCCGAACACCTCCAACGGTGGTGCTACCTACCTCTCAATGGTGGGATGGCACTGCCTTAAGGACATTTACACAGCCTAATTCCTTAGGGTAGGTAGACGAGTCGTAGATACTTGCTCTATTCAAAAACAAATCAAAACTCTTTTCACACCGACACTTTCAAAAAGCTTTCAAAACCATTTTTCAAACACTCTTGAGGACTGATACAAGGGTTATTCAGAAACTTTCAAAGAAACTTTTTCAAACCCACTCACACTTGAAAAGCAAACAAATTTTTGAAAACACAAATGAACAAGTATCTAAGAGCCCATGGATAACCATGGATAGAAAGGGTGCTAACACCTTCCCTTTCTATAAATCTACCTCCCGAACCGAGAAACTATCTCATAAGGAATTTTGTTGTGCTTTTGTCCTATCCATGTTGGAGAAAATAAAAGACGGTGGCGACTCTTGCTTACCGCGACATTTCGCGAACCAGCGTTAAACAGTCAGTTCCAGATCCACCGATCACAAATAGCCTTTGATAAAATTAAGGAGTACCTCCAGTTCTGATGCCACCGGTTGAAGGAAGACCTCCGATCATGTACTTGATAGTATTCGAGAACTCAATGGGGGTGTGTATTAGGGAAACATGACGAGTCTGGTTGAAAAGAGCTTGCAATATACTACCTTAGCAAAAAGTTTACCGACTGTGAAACAAGATACTCACTACTCGATAAAACTTGCTGCACTTTAGCATGGGTTACTCACCGACTAAGACAATATATCTTGACTAATACCACCTTGCTGATCTCTAAGATAGATCCAATAAAATACATATTCGAGAAACCTGCTCTTTCAAAAAGAATAGCAAGATTGCAAATGGTCTTGACATAATACGATATCCAGTACACTACTTAGAAGGTAATCAAAGGAAGTGTATTGGTAGATCATTTGGCTCATCAGGTTGTAGATGGCTATCAGTCTATGAATTTTGAGTTCCCGAATGAGAATATTATGCTAGTTACTGATTATGAAGAACCTGGACCGTATGAAGGACCTGAGCAGGGACCCTGTTGGACCATGGTTTTTGATGGAGCTTCCAACGCGCTTAGTAATGGAATTGGTGTCGTGATTGTCTCTCCCAAGGGTTTCCATATGCCCTTCACTTCTAGATTATGTTTTGATTGTACCAATAACATGGCAGAGTATGAAGCGTGCATCATGGGTATCAAGGCTGCTATCGATATGAGAATTAAATTCTTGAATGTATATGGAGACTCAGCCCTAATAATTAGTTAGATTAAGGGAGAATGGGAAACGAAGGATCTGAATCTCATTTCTTATCGAGAGCATGTGTTGACATTAATTCTGTACTTCAAAGAAATCACTTTTGAACATATTCCACGAGAAGTGAATCAATTGGCAGACGCATTGGATACCATGTCATCTATGTTCAAAGTTAGATGGGATAATGAAGCTCCTCGAATTACTATTGAGATACTAGATGAACCTGCGCATTGCTACGAAGTTGATACTAATGGAGTAGAGGAAAATCCTTGGTACCACGAAGTAAAAAGATACCTCGAGACTCAAGAGTACCCTGAAGGGGAATCTATAAATGATAATAAATTTCTAAGGAGGTTCTTTTCCAAGTTCTTTCTGAGTAATGGAATTTTGTACAAGGGCAAATACAATTCGACTTTGCTTCGTTGTGTAGACAAGAAAGAAGCTGAGAAGATTATGAAAGATATGCACGAAGGAGTCTTTGGTACTCACACGAAGAAGTGTTGGAAGAGATCTGAGAATCTTCCTTACAACCTTGGCTTCTAACATATTCTCCTCTAAGGCACCTGAGGCATTGGCTATCTCGATGATATTCATGTGGTAGTCATGAATAATTTCATCCTCCTTCATTATTAGGTTCTCAAACTGAGTAGTAAGAATTTGGAGTCTTAATATCTTTACCTTTGAGGTTCCTTCATGAGCTTTCTTAAAAATCTCCCATGCTTCTTTAGCTACCGTGCAAGTACTTATCAGTCTGAAAATGTTTTTATCCACTCCATTGAACAATGCATTCAATACTTTGGAGTTTTCCTCTGAAGCTTTTTCATCTTTATCATCCCAGTCTTCCTCATGCTTCAAACCTTCTTTACCATCTGCACCTACAGCCATTGGTGTATCTCATCCCTTGACCACAACTTTCTAAGCCTTATTGTCCATGAATTTGATAAAATCCACCATTAGGACTTTCCAATTGTCATAGTTGGTTCCATCAAGGATGGGTGGTCTGTTTAAAAATCCACATTCCTTGTCCATCGTACCAGAAAGTAACTTCCCTGAACCTCACCCAGAGTCAGAGCATGATGCTTGATCTGATACCAATTTTAATTCTGGTGTTCAGATCAAAGATGTCCTAAAAGATATTGAGACACCTTTTATTGAATTTGCACACGATGAACAATATGAATGATAAACACAGTGCATAAAAGTTAAGAACACACATAATTTTTAACCCAGTTTGGTGAAATAACACACCTACTTTAAGGCCTACCAAGCCAGAGACCAAGTTAACTTGATAGTATCATTTCGTAGACCCACAATTAACTTTCACCTAGTTTACAATCTACTCACTTAATCACTACCTGTTCTTAACTTCTACCTAAGACTCACTTAGATATGAGACCCTTCTCAAATCCCTTTCAATCACAGTCATAATGATCGACCAATTCTAAACACGTAGAAAAAACACTGAAGTCACACTTCAAAGACACACAATCATTCACTGCTTCAAAGCTTTGGAGTGATTGACAAAACTTACAACTCAAAAAACAATCATACTCTTTTATCAACGTGATAATCGAGAGACTCACAATAAGCACACGAACCCTAATAAAATTACATAGTAAGTTCCACACTAAATCAAGTTAGTGACATTCTATTTAAAGCTATACTTTAGATTGGATTGGGCTTTTCAATCACAATAAATCAGCTGCTAAACTTCATTATAAAATTATATTCATTATATTTTGATGTTATCTTTCATTTTACATATATATTAAAAGTATTTTACATATGCTTACTGATACATTTTTTTTATCGAATAACAATTACTTTAATATAATATAATATAATATAATAAAATAACGAGATTATCAATTTTATAATTATAATATTTTTTATATTATTTTATATTTATCAACTAATATATAATCATTAATTTTTAAATTAATTTATCAACTACTCGTCATTAATTTTAATTATCAAGTACGAATTATCAACTATTTTTATAAACTGAGCTTAAATATATGTTTTTAAATTAAATTTTTATTTATTAATTATGTTAAGTTCTTTTTTAAATATTTTAATTTATGAAATTTCCTTTTAGGATTAAATAGTCTCATATCAATGTTTTCGCAGTTGGTATTTCAAAATAATATTTTCTACCATGTCTCTTTGCAACAAAATCTTAAACAAATTTACATATAAAACAACCCAATCCAAGGAAGGAAGTAAAAGAACATCATTCCATTCCCAACTGATTTTGGTGGCAGTAAATTCAGAGAAAGCACACATGTGTCAGCAAAACACATGAATACAACTCAACCCGTGTTTCACTCCGTCATCTCTTGTCTACCATGTGTTTGTTAAAATTTCCAAATCGAGTAAAAACAAACACTCCCAACTTCTTCTCTCTCATACAACCATCAAAGAAAAACAAACCGCCAAACTTTTTCAATCCTTCAACAAATTTCACCATAATCTCAAACCACTTTTCAATCTTCACACACGTGGTCTCCACCATCACGTGAATCGAGTGTCCATATTTTCCAAATCACTGTTTTTCAAACATCCACAACACAATGTCTCAAAACACTCAAAACAATTCTTGTTCTTTTTCTTTTTCTTCTTCACTTTTTCTTCTTCTTAAACATGGGACTCTCTCCCAAACACTCTCCTCGTACCCCTACTTATCTCTTTCCTTGTGTCATCGCTCTCTCTTTCTTCTCTCTCACTGGTCTTCTTCTCTACAAGGTTCTTTCTTCTCTCTTTACCCAACAAATTCTAACTCTTGTTTTCTTCTCTAACTGCTTGCGTTATTTCATCAAACAGGTGGACGACGTTGTCAGCCGAACCGGAACCGTGGTAGGTCACAACCTCGAACCAACGCCATGGCATGTTTTCCCTACCAAACCCTTCGATGAAGAGACTCGTCAGAGTAGAGCCTACAAAATCATCCAGTGCTCCTATCTCACTTGTATTAACGCAGTCTCCGGTGACAGTACTGCCACCGGAAACGCAAAAGCGCCTAATGGTCCGGATTGCCCGGATTTTTTCAAGGCGATCCGGAGAGATCTGGAACCGTGGATGAAAACGAGAATTTCTAAAGGGCATTTGGCGGAAGCGCAAAAGTTTGCGGCTTTTAGAGTGGTGATTGTTGGAGGGAAGATGTTTGTTGATTGGTATTATGCTTGTGTTCAGAGTAGGGCTATGTTTACTGTTTGGGGTATGCTGCAGCTTTTGAGGAAGTACCCTGGGTTGGTTCCTGATGTCGATATGATGTTTGATTGTATGGATAAACCTAGTATTAATAAAACTGAACATGGTTCAATGCCTTTGCCACTCTTTCGTTATTGTACCACACAGGAACATTTTGATATACCTTTTCCTGATTGGTCCTTCTGGGGATGGTAAGATGTCAATTGGGATTCTCTCAAAATGTCACTTTTTCATCAATTTCTAATTCCATTGTACTTCTATATTATTGTGTATTACTATGTACTTGTATGTGATGATCTTAGCTCATTGATACTCAATGATATATTAGGATGAATCTATGAAGCTCTCACATAGGCACATAGACACATAGACACATAGACACATAGATAGATGCCAGATACACGACACTGACACCAACACATACACACCGGTAATAATTTAAAAAAAATTGAAGTTAATGAATGTAACCACAAGTGTCGTGGCGGAATGCTCGCAATAATGGTGAAAATGCCAGCCAGGTGTCCGATCTTATAGGAGGTTACTTAAGTTGTCCAACATTAGATATCTATGATAGATATCGCCTGTTAAGTAGCGGAAACTTTTATCACTTCGATATTTTTCTTCCACCAAATGAGTATGATCTGTGTAATGTACTGAACAAGCTGCAGGGTCAAATCAACAGTGATTGGTTTAAATATCTTCAAAAATAATGAGAACTTATTTGTTGATCAGTCTTCAATTTGATTGACAAGATCGTTATTTGAACTAGGACTGATGTGCATGAAAGAACTATGTTGATGTTGCATTTAACTCCTTTAAAGTGAACAATTCACATTAGAGGAAAGTAAGCAATTTCAATTGTTGATGAATAAATCAACAATTTATATTTGGATATATCATGATTTGGAGTATGAACATTAACTGTTAATATTTAATGTTGGTTGATATTTCTTTATTCTATGAATTGAAGGACTCTTTTTAAAGAAGTTAAATCCGATGAGGTTGTTTGTTAGAAGTGCATGAATATTGCTTGATGATTTTGCTGTGCTGTTTGTTTTGTTGATGTCTTTGTGTTGAACTTGAACATATGTTGGTCAGGTCAGAGATAAATATTAAACCGTGGCAGGAAGAGTTCCCAGATATCAAGCAAGGTGCTCAAGCTGTAAGTTGGAAAGATAGGAAGCGGCTAGCATACTGGAAAGGAAATCCAGATGTTGCATCTCCTGTTCGTACTGAATTACTAAATTGCAATGATTCTACAGCGTGGGGAGCAGAAATTTTGCGTCAGGTTGGCTTGAATCGCCTTTCTCAATTCGACATTAATCAATCTTTGTAATTTCAATATGCTTTATGCGCCAATCTTTAGTTGTCTGATATGTGTATGCATTGCAGGATTGGGTTGAAGCTGCTAAAAGGGGCTTTTCGGAATCAAAACTTTCAAAACAGTGTAATCATAGGTATGTAACCAACTGTTTTTCCTCTTAGAGCATTCCTCATAACTCAAAAGTAATGCTCATAACATATATATGGACTTTTTTGCACAGTTAATAAAGCAATACTTAGCCTCTGTTTGGTAACCTACTATGTTTGGTAGCCTAGTAGGTTACCGCTGCCGCACGTCCACAGCCGTTTCCATTGTGATTTAGAGAAGCAGCTAAATGTAGCTTCTTGTTTAATGTGAATTTTAACTGTGATTTCTTTTATCACCAAACACATGCTTAAAATTACATACATGGCTTAATTGCAGTTTTGATCCCTCTATTTTTACTTGCAAACTGAATTGGTCCACATTTTGAAAAGTTGATTTATTGGTCCTCTCAGTCGGGTTTTTGGACCAATAAGTGGTGATGTGACAAGTTCTTATTGACGTGTGCTAAAATATGTTTGGTATCACAGTGGGTTTGTGAAATCTCGTTGATCCACCACGATTTAAGTGTAGCTTTTGCAAAATCAAGGTGGCTCATCGTGATTTCAGCAAACCTAGCATAATACCTAACATGCAAAAAATCATCCAGGTGAATTTATAATCTTTCTATCATATGGATTCGCAACGTAATCGTCATCTTCTCTTGTATATTCTCTCGGTCCCTCTTCACCCTATTTAATCGCTTGTCTAGATGATTCTATGTAAGCAGATTTTCTGCCTCGTCAATAACATCACCCTTTTGTGTCTAAGAAACTGAGCGAGGGACCAAAAAATAAAATTTAAATGGGGTACCGATTCTATGAAGGGTTAAAATAAAAGACTAAATCTGCATTTAAGCCAACATACAAAGAATAGCTGAGCATTATTGTCCTTCGATTAACACTTGATTTATTTTTCTACCAGATATAAGATCTATGCTGAAGGGTATGCATGGTCTGTGAGTTTGAAATATATTCTCTCATGCGGTTCTGTTCCACTAATTATATCACCTCAGTATGAAGATTTTTTCACTCGTGGCCTTATTCCATTTCAAAACTTTATGCCTATTAATCCTCTAGATCTATGTCCATCTATAAAGGGCGCCGTAGAATGGGGAAACACGCACCCGAGAGAGGTATTTCTTTACTTATTGTTCTATACTCCTTTAATTTGGTTGTGTTGAATTTCTAAATCCAAATGATGACTGAAAATGATTGTTTTTATTTTGGAAACCTTAAAACATTTCTGAGCTAATGGCATGGCATAATTAATTTCGGCATTACTATTATTTACATAGAAGATACACTGCCTTGAAACTTAGTGATGATTCAAGTTTGACTACCCTATGTTAGTTTCCTACAAATTTTACATTCCAACAAGTAGCCTCTCAAGTTTTCTTCAATTATTGAACTTTTCTTTGTAAGATTTGTGTGAAAAATACATTACCAACGAATTTTTTGATTTATGATGTAACTGTTTTTGTAATGCTATACAGGCTGAGGCGTTGGGGAAAAGAGGACAGGACTATATGGAAACCTTAAACATGGATCGAGTTTATGATTACATGTTTCACCTTATCTCGGAATACTCAAAACTTCTCGACTTCAAGCCTACTCCGCCATCATCTGCCTTGGAAGTTTGCGCCGAATCTATTCTTTGCTTTGCTGATGAGAAGCAGAGGTTATTCCTTAATAAAACAACGGTCTCCTCTTCACAAACACCTCCCTGTACTATCAAATATGTCTAGAGTGAGTGATCTTACCTATATTTTGCTGCACAAAAGATTTGGAACATCTAATATGCAAGAACATATGCTTACACTTAGTGCCATTTTCGGTATCAAAAGAAAAGAAGTGATGTTGAATGTAAATTTATAGTGCCTCGAGAGGTAATTATTTACAAAATTTTGTGTTTGTAATAGGTCGTCATTTTTTAACAGAGCATACAATGCGGGAATTTTTATTTTTATTTATTTACTTACCTGTCCATCTTCTCTTAATCTTCTATTACATTTATTCAGCTGTGTTTGCCGACTCTCCCAACTTGTGATAATTATGAATGTGACTTTCAACCAGGGACTAAAATTGGAAAGTAAAGATAAGAGTCAATCTTCTTGAGATGATCCATTATGGCATGGGATATATGAAAAAATGGTTAATTGTGTTAGAGAAAAATTGAATTTTGAATATTTGTTTTTGTTAATATTTGTGAAGTATACATGAATCAAATGGAGGTATTTATACTATTAAAAATACAATTATTTATACTAATGTAATAATTGATATTATTATTTTAAGTTTGACATATTACACATTTATAATAATTGACATTACTATTTTAAGTTTTAGATTAAGATAGATATTTTTAAATAGTAATAAATAATTTTCTTATTTATTATAACAAATTGACATATTTATCTGTTCTATTTACTTCATATTGATGACATTTTAAAATATGTTAATATAATTAATAAATTTTATTATTTTTGTATTAATATCATTATTGTTGTGAAAAAGAAAGAATATGTTTTTGAACGTGATTGAGATACATTGCTCTAATCATAGTGTTAGAAAGATAATAAATGATTATGTGCAATTTAAAAAAAAATTAAGCTACTATAATTTACCAAGATAATGTGCATTGAATCTTAGCGAATTAGAAATGGATAATTAAAATATTTTAATTTGTAATACTCTCTTGAATAGGTATTATCAATTTTTAGACATAGTTCTTTCAAAAATTGGTTAGTTCCGGATGAAAATATCTGCAAATTAACTTTAGTGAATAAATATAATGAGTACAATTAAGTTTCTCTTTGATCAAAACCCTAGATATTTTAATATGTTTTGTTCGGTTATGATGAGCTGAATTGAATTGGAAATTATATTAATGGCCAACTTATTATTATAATAGAGTTTCATAATTTCATCTCATTTAATCTTTAAAAAATCTTTTAAGATAATCTTCAATCAAAGTAATTCTCATATACTTTATGTCATAGTTTGAAACTCAATTTCAAAACTGGATTGAACCACATCATTATGCCTTTTACTCCTCCAAATTACAAGATTTTCTCTGAGAAATGTACGATATCTTATAGTGAATCTCTGATCAGTAGTTGAACCTTTAAAATCAACATCAATATATGCCTTAAGAATAATACTTCCATTTCTTTTAATAAAATCCTTTTTGTTGGAGTTCCCTTAAGATATTGTAAATGAGGATGCATATCTCTATGAGGAGATTGTTGCATGTTGATGAAAGTAATTTTTGGTGGATAAAGTATTTCATATCTTTCTCAATAATGATTTAAACCACAAATAGAATATAAAAGCAAAGATAATCATCTATATTGATCATTAACTAGTTCACATACAAAGGATTAAAAGAAATATATATTACTTAGATTAATTACATCTAATCTTAACACCAGGGGGTTTAGCTACATATCATGATAACTTGCTTCACAAGAAATTATAAGAGACTCAAAAGCATCAATGACAAAAAGTCATAGATTGATGCTCCAAAAACTTGATTATGAGTTCCTCCTATGTTTTTGGTGTGTTTTTATCTCAAAATGGGTATTGTGCCCTAAAATTATGAAGCACAAAAGTATATATACTAAACTGAAAAAAGAAAACTGCACTAAGCTCCATCAGAGCTCGCTTAGCACGACTACAAGACAAACAGAGCAAACCGCCACAAACGGCGTTTAGCGCAGGAAAAGGGCGCTTAGCGCCAAACCTTCTGTCCCAGCACCTCTAAGCGCGCTTTGACCGTGTTGAGCCCCACTTGAAACTCCTGATTTCCATTAAAAAATGCATCTTAAAGCTTTTCTTTTGCCTTTTATATGCCTAATTCTTCAATAGTGCAAGGAAACCTACAAAATAAAATGAATATGATCAAACTATACGATATTTACACGATAAAACTAAAAATCAATTATTTACACTAAAGTTAAGGTTTTGACATGAAATTCTAATGAAACCAACTGAAAAGGGCCACAAAATACTACTGATTATAAACACAATTTGACCCTTGTCAACTCTCCCTAACTTAAAACTTTGTTTGTCCTCAAACAAGAGTTTCAAAAACCTAAGGAAACAAGCAACTTCCAAAAATCTTAAGGTCAACAAGTTTTGAGAAAAGAAAACAAATGTATGGTTCAAATTCCAAAAGTACAAGAAAATCTATGCTTACCACTATACTACAATGACACCATGATCATGAAATAAGTTCTAAACACAAAATACTGTCAAAAATTTCTAAACAACACAAGTTCAAACATGAATCACACCTAACACACATCTTCATCAATGGATAAAGAACAAAAATGAGGGACTTGACTCACACACAGCAATCTTGCTAACATCTAGATCAACTTATGCATTCATCCAAGCAATTCAAATTAAAAGCATAAAAGCATGAATCACAAAGGACTTCAAGGGTTGTAATGTGGCTTGATTAATAAATAATGACCATTTATCAAGGTAATTGAAACAAAGTTTCCAAAACCTAAGGGAGCTTTCAAAATTCCCTTCTTTTTTCGCTTTACAACTTCATTAACCACTTTTCTTTTGCTCATGGGATATACCATTGATCACAACTGTTAGCACATAAAGTGTTTGCCACTTTTTCTTTCAAGCACTTTTCTTTTTTTTCTTTTATTTTTATTTTTATTTTTCACAATATTATTTCTTTTTCAATCACTTTCTTTTTCAACATCTTAGCAACCAACCTTTTTCTTCCCAACTTGAATAAAACCAATCATTATAAATAGAATGCTCCCAAACTTTCTAAGACAAAGGGATCAAATTCCAACCACAATTTATAGTTGATGGTTCAAGTGTTTCAAGCAAAAAATTCACAATCCATTCAAAAATCGGTGATGAACTAATTATTTATTCACAAGTTTCACTATTCAAGAACCAATATGGATCCTGACATTAAGGCTCAAAGTGGTTAACGATTTCTCACTCACTCACAGGGTAGGTTACTTGGTCAAGTGGTTGTGCTCAAAATAAAAAAAAAAGCCTTAATCATTTTCATCCTTTACATAATTCGACACAAATAAAAGATTAAACATAAGGAAACCGAGTTAAAACAAGCATTGTTGGTCTCCTATGCATATAGTATACAATGGAAGGTCTCCTCACAATTAGACTTTGAATAAGTATTGCAAAAGAATGAATGACATGTTATTTGCATAAATTACAAGTTTCATATTCATGTTATGTTTTAGATAGCAATAAACATGCACTTTTCCTTTGTATATATTTACAAGCACTATCATTACCATTACATTTTCATGCATTACTATTAATCATGGAAGAAATCCACTTGTTCCTTCAAGTCAATCAAACTTAGAACAAGCTAAAAAACAATATTTTAAAACTATAATGAATTGAATGTAAACTAAACTACATAATTAAAAATAAAAAATAAAAGTAACAACTTATAACAACTTAATTGAATTAAACCCAAAACCACCGCAAAAGTTATGGTGTCCCAAAAGTCAAGGTGACATGTAATGTCACCAAAGTACTATAACATCATCATCCTAAAAAGGATGGAACAAAATAAACCAACAACAAGATAAGTCTTAACATAATCATAAAATTAAAAGACAGTAACATAAAATACCATAGAAGTTCACCAAATAACATCACTCCTCAACATTCATATCTTCCCCTTCTCCTTCACTTTCTTCTTCAACTATTTCACCACTTGTTTCTTCTTCTTCGCCAACTGCTCCCTTTGGTTGAAATGGCCTGCCTCCAGGATAATTAACATGAGCCCAAAATTCTTCTCGAGTACCAAGCTTATGATCAACATGCGGCTCCTTAATCTGTAATTGTAGCTGATGCATGAAATCATGCATAAACATGAAGGCTCTTTGATTTGCCTCAAGCATATCCCACTGTCACACCCTAATTTTTGAACTAGAATCCTATATCTCTTTGTATCATTTACATAACATCAAAGATCATCTCATTCATATTTGCATCACTAACCTTATGGAGATACAAGTTTTGCTTTGTTTGTTTGTTCCTTTTGAATAGATAGGTTATGGAATCTAGGAGTCCAAGGGATTGATAAATCAATAATTCTCAGAGATCAAAACTCCTCATTCATCAATAGTATTAAGAGATCATTATCTTTATCACAACTTCATCACATTAGGGTTTCATCATTGAATTCATCAGGTGATTGAAAGAGATTAGAGTTTTGTCTCCTTAGATGAAAATAAAGAATTAGGGTTTGAGGTATTTAATTGTGTATCACTCAAGACTTCATCATATTGTCATCTTATGGACTTCAAATATATCTTAACATGCTAAGGGTTGCATCATAATTAAAAGGTTCCATTGAAATTGGACAAATTGGATTCATCTAACACAAAGTCAACTACAAAGTCAAACTTTGACTTTTGTCTTTTTTGGGTAAACATTGACTTCTTAAGATGAATTTCATTAAAATAAGGTTGATGAGTGAATTTGATCAAGAGAAGTCAATATATTTGAGATTACTTTCAAAAGGGGTAAGATTGGAGAAGTTGAAAATTCACTAAGTGTCAAAAAATTCATGTTCAAGTGCATGACTTTACAAGCTTGTAACTTCTTCCCCAAGACACCGTTTTTCATGCCCAAAAGATCAAATTGAAGGTCTTTCTTCACACTACAACTTTTCCATAGGAAGTGATTTCCAAAAAAAGCATGAATTTATCACACTTGAGCAAGGAGTTTC